AGAAGTTAGAACAATGAAGAGGGTGATATTCACGCTCACTAGCCTTGTCATGTGGTATGTTAATGAGTTTTTTATTAATCATTTTTATGATTTTTCATATACTATTGATAGGGAGATTTAACTAAATATGAGTAAATAAAAGGATAATTGCAACAATAGGAGTTTAAAGTTTAAATTCCTAAAATATGACTAACTTTCCTATTCTACCCTTTATTTTGTCTTTGGTAATAAGATTTTTAAACCATCATTATAAAATATAAAAAAAATCAAAATAAAAAATAAAATAAAAATCGTAAAAAATAATTAAAAAATATATAGACCCCAACCACCACCTCAGCCACCTTTCAGCACCGCCACCTCCGGTCGCCGGAAAAGATTGCAAAGTTGGGGGGGAAATGTCATGATGATGGCAATTTTGAAGAGAAAGCAAGAGAAAACTGGATATTTTCAAAAAGTAAGGATGTCATCTTTATGGCATTTTCAGAGAAATGTGACATTTTTTACACAAGATAGCATTTTTTTCCGGTCACCGAAGTCGGTGGTGCTGGGAGGTAGAGGACGCGTTGGCAGTGACCTACATATTTTTAATTTTTTTTTTAGGTATTTTATTTTATTTTATGGACTTTTAAAAAAAAATTAAAAAAATTATTTATTATTTTTATTTTTTTATTTTTATTTTATTTTTTCACGTTTTCATTATTATTTTATAAATATATTATTATTTTTTATATTATTATAAATAAAACTATGATTTTCTTATTAATAAATTAAATCTATTGGAAATGATAGGAAGGGGGTAGAGTAGGAAGAATAGACATATATTAGTCCTATTTTGGAATAAAAGGATTGTACTCCTATTGTTGAATTTTGGGCTTATTTTACTCCTACTAAGAGGTAATACCCGAATATTAATATTGTGTATTTAAAATTTAAAAGGTTTCTAAAGATAGATAGTTATAGAAAATATTAAAATTAATAAGATTAAGAGCCCATTTGGCCGCACGAAAATCGGTAGTTTTGGCTGATTTTGCTGAAATTTATGAAGTTCTGGTTGAAGTGACTTCATTGGCCGATTCTGCTGATACAAGAAAAAAAATTAAAATATACTCCGTCCCGTTGGAATGTCCCCGCTTTCCTTTTTTGGATGTCCCGTTGGAAAGTTCCCATTTTCCTAAATGGAAAGTTATCCTACATCAAAACAGGGTCAAACAGTTCAAAACAGTGTCAAACAGTGTCGAAACAATGCCAAACAATGTCAAAACAGTAAAATTTACCCACTGGTAAGTTTATTTCCTTAATATGTGTGTAGGTCAAACCGGGAACATTCCAACGAGACGGAGGGAGTATTTTATTAATAAAATAAATAAAAAATTATATGTAAAAATAGCTAAAATGGTCATCTACACTAGCTTCAGCCAATACAGCCAGAAAAGTAACTCTAACCTTACTTTTTTGGTTTATTACACAATTCAACGCGCGAAAGCAAAATTTATGTGTTTAGTAAAAAAGTTGGCTGATAAGCGTGATAAGTCGAAAATGAGGGTTGCCAAACGGCCTCTAATAAATACGAAGTACGAGATATGCAAGCTCATTGTCCTGTCGGTGAAACTTTGACGACGCAAAATGAGACTATATATCAAACAATTAAACTATACTTTTCTTGTTGGTATTACACTGTTACTATATTATACTCGTATATACGGAGTATAGAATATTGTATGCACAACATCACAGACCCCCAGTGTGTCAAACCCAAAAAGTTTTAGATTTTTAGGTGTGGTATATATACACAACATGTGCGGCATGGGCTTAAGGCAATATTCTTAATGGTTTAAATTCATTTTTTATTCAGCTCTGCGAATTTTGATAGAGTTCATATTGTTACTTAGCATTCTCATTATTATCATTATTATAAACTCCATCTATTAGAGGAAGAAATACGAAGTATAATAAGCCTTGTTTTAAAATTTTGGTTATGTTTAACTCCATTGCACATTACTTTCTTTGATTGGCTGTGTAATGAGAAAAAATAAAAATTGAGTGATTAAGAGTTGTGCAGATGATAGAAAAATAGTAAGAAATACAAATTCATTATTTAAAAAAACGTTGGAACGTTTTTTGGGACAATTGTTTTCTTGTACTTTCCCACATATATAGTATTTAATCTGTTAAATGTTGATATCTTTGATTGAGATAAGTTTTGAGCTTATGACCTCCACATTGGGAGTGTCACATTAATGTCATTGAAACACAAGGTTCTTGACGGTTTTTTAGGCAAATAAAATGAAAAGGAAAGAGTATATAATAAAGAATTCACAAATAATCTAAATGGCCAATTTAGAGCAAACTCCAACAAAAATTTCACCCCTCAGGAAGGTAAAAGAATGCCAAGAGACATTTGGTAATCTCAATGTGTTTGATACACAAATGAAAGTGGTCCTGATCAAGATCCCGACACTATTAATTGTTACAGGCAGCTTGTGTGCAGGATCTTGTCATAGACCTTCAGGTGAGGGGGAGGGTAGACTGAGCTGTGGAAGGGTATGCTATGTTTACTGTTTGGCAGAAACTAGGGATAATATATTTATGCAAGCTTTTATCAAAAGTAGAATTTTTTTATTGAGAATTCCAGAAACTCCCTTAGACTTCTCTTGATAAAAACTTGCATATTTTTCCCTACATTCAAATGGCCCTTGAATAGGGTTTACATCGTTTGGAAAATAAAATAAAGAAAACAACTAAAATGAAAACAGCAATTCAAAGATTGCAATCAGAAAATAATATCTCAGATCTCTACAGATCTCAAATCCCTGACTGTGAGAGGTTTATCAGGTTTGTCTGATTTATTTGTCTCCCATATTTGTTTGACTTTATTTGTCTTCCAAATCAATCTTATTTGTTTGTGTGGGTTGCTGATTTTTATCTTTCTTTCCTTTACGGTGATATTGACGCCCTATGAATGCATCATTATTTGCTTCGTTGAGATCGAGCTTGTCCTCAAGCTTTAAGGTAGGGAAGTGAAGTCTGAAAAAATCGACATCCTCCCAAATAGCCTCATCTGGATGCATGCCAGACCACACCACTAAAATCTCTTTTCTTCCCCTGTTAAGACGACCCCGTAAGACCTCTTTTGGTTGTGGCAGAAGCTTCCCGTCGTGGAGATTAGGTAGTGTGGGAGACTATGCTGGTGGCGTTCCCTTAAACTCCTTCAGTAATGATATGTTGAAAACATCATGGACTTTACTACCCTCCGAAAGGGTCAGCTTATATGTCACTTTGCCAATTTTCTTGATGATCTGGAATGGTCCAAATTCCTGTGGAGATAATTTCGCTGATGTCCGTTTGGTTACGCTGAATTGACGATATGGGTGCAGGCGAAGCCAAACCCACTGTCCCTCGTTGAACACAACGTCTCGGTGGTTATTATCATATGCAAGACGCATTCTTTCTTGAGCACGTGTGAGGTGATTTCTAGCAGTGCTTAGGATTGCATCTCTGTCCTTCAAAGCAGCATCTACTGCTTCTATTCTGGATGACTCTGGTTTGTATGATATAAGCCTTGGCGGTTCGCGCCCATATACGACCTTGAAGGGTGAAGTACCAAAAGCCGAATGCAGAGAGGTGTTGTAGCAAAACTCAGCCCATGGCAGCCAGTCTACCCACCTGCGTGGGTGATCTCCTACCATACATCTAAGATACATTTCGAGTGTGTGATTAATAACTATTATTCCAATTTTTTATCCGATTAACAAGTCTCTTTGATATATCCCAATATTTGTCTCTTTTTTTGCCTAATTAAGATGTAATTATACTTAAATTATTTTTATTAATAAAACAAATAAAAAATATATGAAAAAGTCTAAAATCGTCCTTCACAGTAATCTCACTCAACTCAGCCAATATAGCAAATCTAATCACACTTATTTTTATTATTACACAAATCAACCATGAAATTATGTATTTACCAAAAAATAAACTGAAAAGACCGATAAGTCAAGAACCCGATTACCAAATGAGAAAATTGCTGCTAGTGAGACCAATTCATACAAATTTTATAAAAGTAGGATTTCTTTAGTTTTTTCCATCTGTAATACTTATATACTCCTATTTTAAGAAACATAAATATTAGTTTCCAAATTTAGCCCTTCAGATTGACGGAAGCAAGCAGCGGCGAAGACCTCCCAAATCCCCTGCACTCGCCCTATGCAATATCGTGGTCCTGCCCCAAATCGTCGCCTTCACCATACGGAATAGACATCGCTGACGACGACGAGCAAGGGCGGTGGTGACAGGAGCGGCGACGAGCAACAACGGTGATGATGGCGAACATCGACGGTAAGGAAGGTGAGGACGAAGGCAAAGAAGGAGATGCTGCCAGACTTCGAGCCTTGACCAGAAGATGGAGGAGAGACGGCGACCTAGCTTCGGAGGCGTAGACCTGAAGACGGAGCTGCGTGGATCTGGATTTGCGAAGGACAAACGGGATAGAGTCGGGAGAAGATGGGAGCAATTTTCTTTATTGTTTATTTAATGTCTACTTATTGTCTATTTATTGTTATTTAATGTCTGTTATTTTCTAAAAGTAAGTGTATTGTGGTCAATGCAGGTGTAGTTGAGTCTTACCCTAATTTTCGATCTTAATTTTGGAAAATCCGTACGTTTTGCTCCTATTTGTTGAAATCTCCCTTACCAAACAGACTATCGTAAAAAAATATTTTTACATTTGCATACCTTTCCATTTGAGTTTTGGTTTTCTACTTTTGGAACTAATCCTTTAGCAAAGCCTATACACGGTAAAGCATCGTATATTCGTATAGTGTCATAAATAGAACAAAAATTATAGCATTGCTTAAAATAAAATAAAATAAATTTAGTGTAGCAATTTTATTTGTGTACCACTACCACATGCTATTAATGGGGGATTTAAGCTTGGAAAATTAAGTTGCGACTTTGGAAAGTATTAAATATAAATACGAAGGCTAAAGCCTACTCTAAAACTTCTGTAATTATCCTCTCCCTCTTAAAATACAGGTCTTTCCCTCTCACACAGAGACTCTGCCGCTTTGCTTCATCCAGATAAGAGAAGAGAGGGGAGAGAGAGGTGAGAGGGGATTCAGGGAATTCCGTTCCGGTGGCTCCGGCAGTGCGCCGCCGCTTCATATCCTTTATGGGTTTGGTTAATTAAGAGGGCGATTTGAAAGAAATTAAGCATCTACTGCTGTACATGTACATCTTGCTTAAAATAATTCCCATTTCTGATATCTTCGAATTCCGTATCATTTTCGTACATCGCAGCGCTCAGCCCCACCCCTCTGTCAAACTGTGGCGGACGACAGACGAACCCTAGCGGTCGTCTTTTCCTCCTCCACTTCTACTTGGTTGTTGGGTGCTTTGAATTTCAAATCGAAAAGGAAGACGAGGAGGAGAGGGGCCTTCTCTGCGAGGAAGATGCTTTGGGTGATGAAATTTTCCTGGTTCGTCTCTGCTGCAATGGCGATGATTGTTCTATCCCCGTCGCTGCAATCCTTTCCTCCGGCCGAAGCCATTAGGTCCTCTACCCTCGATTCCTACCTCCGATTTCAAGGACAGATTGCCGGCGGCGGTGCACTTGACCGATTCTCTTTTCGGAAAGCGCCTTTGTTTCGTAATGCCGGTGGATGCAAATCCGTGTTGGGGGAAACCTATGTTTGCGATCCGTCTCTAGTTCACGTCGCCATTACTCTGGACACGGAGTATCTCAGAGGTTCAATCGCGGCGGTGCATTCGATTCTACAGCATTCAAGGTGTCCGGAGAGTGTGTTCTTCCACTTCATGGTCTCGGAGACCAACCTGGAGAGCCTCGTGAGATCCACTTTTCCTCAGTTGAAGTTCAAGGTGTATTACTTCGACCCCGAGAGAGTCCGGAGCCTCATCTCCACTTCCGTCCGGCAAGCGCTGGAGGTTCCTCTCAACTATGCCCGGAACTACTTGGCCGACATGCTCGAGCCGTGTGTACGCAGAGTCATCTACTTAGATTCTGATTTGGTTGTCGTTGACGATATCTCAAAGCTATGGAGTACAAATTTGGAGGAGAAGACTATCGGAGCTCCAGAGTACTGCCACGCCAATTTCACCAAGTACTTCACCTCCAATTTCTGGTCTGACCGGAAATTGTACGGTACATTCGCCGGACGGGACCCTTGCTACTTCAACACCGGCGTTATGGTCATAGATCTGGCGAAATGGAGGCGGATAGGGTACACGAAGCATATAGAGAGGTGGATGGAGATCCAGAAGACGATCAGGATCTACGAATTAGGGTCTCTACCGCCGTTCCTGTTAGTGTTTGCCGGAGATGTGGCCGCAATTGATCACAGGTGGAACCAGCACGGTTTGGGCGGCGATAACGTGAGGGGAAGCTGCCGGAACCTCCACCCAGGTCCGGTGAGTCTCCTCCACTGGAGCGGCAGTGGGAAGCCGTGGCTGAGACTGGATTCGAGGAAGCCATGCCCGCTGGACTCTTTATGGGCACCTTACGACCTTTATGGACATTCAACCTGAACTGTTCATTGTTCATCCCTTTGTCTCGCCGGTAAATTCATGTCCACTCTAATTTTGGCTTCTTTTTTTTGGATTTCACGGATCGCCCACGTCGTAATTTCTCCATTTAATTTTTTTGTCAGAGTTTTTTATAAAAAAATTCCGAATTTCTTTTCTTCTTTCCTTGGAAATTTATTTTGTCATGGATCAACATATAGCGCCATTATTATCACATGTTGTGTTCATCAGAGGACATTTGTATTCTATTCGCTGCTCTGATCTCTGAAATAAAAAAGTGGAATTCATTTCATTTTATTTTTTTTATCATATTGTGAGTTTGTGTTAGAGCCATTGCTAATATGGCTGTCCACAATGATTGGCATAATTATAACTGCTCAAGTATAATTAACGGCATAATGAAAATGGATAACAGCGAAACTCTAAGGCTCCGTTTGGATTAGTGAAAAGCCTGGACGGCTAGAGAAAATGTATAGTGGTTGTTAATATGATAAAAATGAGGTGTTTAGAAAATGACGTTCTAAACAAAAAATGACGGTTTGACCCATTTTAGCATTTTCAATAAGTGAAAATGTTGTTTGCTAAGGATGTTTTTACTTGGACGGTAATTCGTCCCAGACCAAACCAGACTTGGATAATTATAAAAATAAAAAGAAACTAGACCAGTTCAGACCAAACCAGATCAGACCAGACCAGCAAATTACAGTCTAAGTAAAAACATCCTAAATAGTTGTTTGTTTATACTGTTTTTGAATGACAATGCTGAAATGAAAACACTACAAATAAGAGAGTTTTGGGTTAACGTTCTGAAATATAACGTTTTCTTATTAATTACTATGACCAAACAATTAAATTAGCAAACATCTCTTAGCAATCCGTCAACTTATTCCGCTAGTCAAACTCGTCAATTGAATTGGCTTTTGACAATCCTCTTACATAAAATGTCAAACACATCCAAATACAAGTGTAGTATTGAAGTAATAGAAAGAAATCATGAAATCAAACAAATAAAGAAAATGTATTGAGTTTGAGTCAAATATTCATTTTTCCCAACCATTGTCTTTCCTTGTATAGTTCTAATTGTTTTTCCCTGTATTTCCATTATCAACATTTTGCGTGTTCCAAACGTAGCCTAACGGATAGACGAGAAACATTCTTTTTCGAGAGTGGTCATCGTTCATATTTGGTAATGAGAGTACAAGTCCGATAGGCATAGGCAGTGTTACTAGATTATGAAAAGGGAAGATCATTGAATAGTACAAGTTCTATTACTCGAAAGCTAAGGCTAGTGTATGTTAGTCCCTTGTTTACAGCGCATAATTATCTGGCCTCACGGCCATTATTTAGGCTCCGGACTGCTAGTACTACGACTGCTACCTACCCGCACGGTTAAGGGTAGTGAGTTGTGAGTTGAGACATCATATTCAATTTCTTGACAGGGGCAGTTGAAAATTTCATTCATTATTTGAAATTTATTTATTAATTGAAAAGAATTATACTACGTACGAAATACTCCGTAAGTAATAAGTCATCTTCAACATAATCACTCAATTTAGATAAACATAATTTCAGCCGGGTTTAATGCACCAAACCCTCTCGTGATATAGAAATTCAGCGCATTAGCCTCATGTGATTTGAAAAATGCATCAAACTCTCTTGTGTTTTAATTAATCATGCACAAAACCCCTTTTATGAATAAATTTAATGGTTTTGAAATCACTTTTTTTAATATTGTGATTGAATATGCAAGTAAATATGTCAAAATCTCTAAATCGTACAAAAATGATCATTTTTCTTTTATTGGACAATTAATTTGTTCATGGAAGGGATTTTGTGCATAATTAATTAAAACACAGGGGGATTCGACGCATTTTTCATATCACAAGTTGGTTTGGTGCATTAAACCCAATTTCAACCTTATTGGTTTTGATTATATAGAAATTGTTATGCTAAATTAAAAATTTATTTTTCGTTAAAACGTTTGTTGAAAGTTAAAAATAAATTTACTAATAGAAATTGCCCTAAATAGAAACATGTCTAAAGCTTGTCAATGCCAAATTTATGTCAAGTTTGGGAAAATTACCATGTTAAAGCCTGTTAATGCCAAATTTGACAGAAAGTACTCCTATTTAGAAAGTAAAACACGTGTTAATATCTGAGGTTTCATCCTTAAAAGTAAACATGATATGAAGAGTAGTGCATGACCTTATATAGTGTTTTATTGTTTTATAATTTTCTGATGTGAGACAAATACTTAATAACATAACAATCTTATTTTGGAATTCCGAAACTTTTTTATTCCTATTTAGATAATTTTCCCATTTATAAAGAGGGACATTGATAAGTCAATGAGTTTAGTTATATTAAATCTTTCGTTTACCTTTGTGTGAGTTCGTTGCGCTTAAACCATTGCAGAAATGGAGTCAAAAGTCAATGTGAAAACATTTGGTAAAAAACAATATATTCTCCACGAATTGCCAAAGACTTGATGCATAGGGGAAGAATACTTTTGGTTGATCGAGAAAGGACGTGATGAATAATTAAAATTCATTCATCCAAATTTTTGGAGAATCTGACCATTCATCACACCAACGTAAGGGTAAAGATTTATAATATAGATGACTTAATATCAAAATTAGCAGACACACTCAAACTATTGACATTTGGTTGAATACCATTCCTCAGTCTTTGTACAATATCAAAACATATTGACTATATTCGGCTATCCGCGTTTCATCCAAAACGTCAACCCGAAATTGTAGTGTATCGAGATCGCGTTTCCACGCGACCCCCGAAAAACAAATGAAGCCATCAAGTTCAAAAGCGGGGGTGTGTGATGTTGGTACGAAATGTGCGGCGTCGCTCAGCCCATGTCATGTTTAAGGTAGATCATATGATACATATGATGATGAGGATGGGGAGGTGTCAATACAACCCCTTTTGCCTCCAACGTAAGAAAACTATACATTGCATTTTTACGTTTCGCAGATTGCTTTGCCGTTAGCAGCGGATGTCTTGTGAACTACCCACCTAATATGCAACTTCCACCCATTGCTAAGTTACTTCAATTTCTCGTCACCTTTTGTGAAATTGTGGTTTGAAAAACTATATATGTTCACGGATCACTCCTTTGATCAAGTAGATCGATTGATGATAAAAAATATGGATTGGTTACTTTTTGACTAATGTGGCTGATGTAGAGATAAGATAATTTTACTTTTTTCCTTTTACTATTTCTTAAGAAATTTCATACAGATCAAGCTAAGCACACGGTTAAAATGCTCATTGCAACTTAACACGATTTGTTCCTTTTTTTATAACAATTCACAAGTCAAAAGATGTTGTGTATGTACACAATTACACATTATTAATATAGAGCTATGTATTTTATAATAATATTTTGGAAGTTGTATCATATTGGCACTATCTTTTTATTTTGTACATTTGCTGTAAAGTATGTGTGGAGAATATATCATATATGTGCCGGCTGGTTCTCTAGGCTTCTAGCTTCAGTTTGAATCCAAGTATCCAATAGACGCCGAACTTATTTATAATATAAATTTTATTTCTTTTATACATCTTCCAATAGGGCAAAAGGTTGAATCCTCAACCCCAAAGTCCCTATGACCCCACAGGGTGAATCGGTCAGCTCAATTATGGTAGATCTTACTTATATATGTGCGCACCAGAAGTCCAGCACAGCAAACAGGAGTTTTAATCTTCACTCGGTCGCTGTGAGTTTCAATCATTGATCCAACTTCACACCACTAAACCAATTAACTGAGTTACTCATGCGGTTTTATCTCTTTTATACAAACATTACACGAAGTTATTTTAAGTGTTTGAGATTTTCTGAAATACTACCATACGTAACTCTTTATTTTAAAGAGGTTTAGATATTCTTACTAACATTTTGTATGCATATCCTATATAGTTTAATTTTATAGTAATACTGGTAATCCGATACGTTTGTGCATTTGTACATTTATAAATCATGATACTTGTAGACATATACAAAAATGTTAAACCATATGTAATCGTTAGCCTTTTTACTTGTGTTGTGTGTTTGATACTTCCGAAATATCCGTCAAAAGTGAGATGCACATGTCCATCTCACTTTGATAGGGATTGATAGAGATTTTGGCAGGGATTTTGGCAAGCATTGTGCAAAATCCGTGCCAAAGACACTTTGAATCGAGCTATTTGGCACGAAAAATCGGTAATCTTTGCCAAATTCCGTGTCAATCCTATGTTTTTTGTAGTGAATAATAGTGTAAACATTACAAAAAGTAATGGAATTGACACGGATTTTGATAGGAATTCATCAAAATCTCTATATGACCTAACACGGATTTGACATAGATTCGTGAATCCCTTGTCAAATTACGTCAATTGATCATATCAATTATATGTCAATATTGTTGTTTTTTGTTGTGTAAGTTAAAAGCATACAACGTCATCATACAAAGGAATTAAGAATAAGGATGTTTTTACTTGGACTGTAATTTGCTGGTCTGGTCTGGTCTGATTTCTTTGTATTTTTATAACTATCCAAGTCTAGTCTGGTCTGAACTGGTCTGGTCTGGTCTGGTCTGGTCTGATCTGGTCTGGTCTGGTCTGGTCTGGTCTGGTCTGGTCTGGTCTGGGACGAATTACAGTCCAAGTAAAAACATCCTAAGTGATTTTTATTATACTTATATTTGAAACTTTTACCATAGTAAATGTTACTATGTGTATAACTTCATGGTCAGTGCAGTGTAAAATTAAACAACCCCATAGTAATTAAAAATTATTAGTATGATCACCTCGAATGAGAGATCACATTTTGTTCATTCTTTATATTTTAGTCATATATACCACGTATGTCATAATTTCTTTTTTCAAACGAAAGAGTTGAGTAATAATATAATTATATCAAGTATTTAACCAGCTATTTACCAAAAATAAAACCATACTAATCTTGGCCGGTGCTTTTGAATAAGAAAAAGAAGGTGAAGACAAAATCAAGAAAAGTTACATAAGGCTTGGCCAAACAGCACCTGAACAGCACGGAAGAATAATTGTAATCGCAACAAATTGAAAAAGGCAAAAGGGGTGGGAGGAGAGTATAAACAATGACCCACTGGCTCAGGCTGGCTGGTGCGGAATGGTGCTTGATTAAAGCTTTGTCCAAAGACTGCAAAGCATTGGGGCCATCCACAACTTTCATCAATCTTTTAGCCATAATATTACTATTAAAGAAAAAACAAGTAAAGAATATGAATATTCTTTTGTGTTAGCTGTGAGGTATCTATCTTAAAATTAGAGGATTTGCAACCAAATTCCCCCTCTAATTGGAGGATTTGCAACCAAACTCCCTCTCCCCAGGGTAGACTCACCCATTCAGGAATTTAGACCGAACTCAGCTAAAGAATAATTATACACTAAAAACGGAAAAAAAATGTCCCGAACTTCAGTTCACCGTAACTGTGACATAGATATGCACCTGCATGCCTCGAGAGCGTTACGTTTATTCTGGAAAATGGAACAAATGTGATCGAAACGGCGGAAAAAGATTCGCCACGAAATCCGCCGTTAATTTGTGGCGGATTCGATTCCGCCACTATTTTCGTCAGTAATTAATGGCGGAACAGAATTCCACCACTAAATTAAAGTTGTAGTGAACAATGCATATCAAATTAAAGATTTGTTTGAGTAGTCCTTACATCCCCATCAAAATATCAAATTAATGACTCCTCTCCCACTTTGTTTGGCTTAG